GTAGCTGCCCCAGAGCTAATTGGCAGGGGGACATGCCAGGAGGACGCGCTGCGAAACGTCTCAAGGGACGCGCCAGGCGACGTGCCAAGGGACGTGCCATGGGGTCTCACCGCGGGACGTGCCAAGGGGACGCGCTGCGGAACGTGCCAATGGATGTGCTACGGGATGTGCCAGGGGACGCGCCACGCGACGTGCCAGGGGGACTCGCCAAGGGACGCCCCACAAAACGTGCCAAATTGCAATGCTGAATGTATCGATCTTGATGTACCGTGCCGAAATCTGTGCTGTGCTGCGCCGTGCTGAATTGCGATGTGCCATGCCGCGATTGTGCTCTATAGCGTCGTGGATCGAGTCCTCCTTTTGCATCCGAGTCCTGACCGAACTGATCTGGACCTTAAGCTCGAGCTGCCCGAACACATAGTAGCTGCCCCAGAGCTAATTGACAGGGGGACATGCCAGGAGGACGCGCCGCGGAACGTCTCAAGGGACGCGCCAAGCGACGTGCCAGGGGACCTGCCATGGGGACGTACCGCGGGACGTGCCAAGGGGACGCGCTACGGAACGTGCTGGGGACAAGCGTTTCGCTCGAGACATCCTGCCAAAATCCAAAGAATTCCTGAAACAACAACCGACTTAGTCGAGACATCCCCGAAATTCCTGCGCGCGAGACGTGGCACGTGCGAGACATCCTCTGAATTCCTGCGAGCGGGATGGAAAACAACAATTTCGCTTGAGACATCCTCTGAATGCTGGCCCCCCACGAGGCCCCCGCTCGAGACACAACCGAATTTTGCAAAACCAGCGTTTCGCTCGAGACATCCTCAACAAATTATGACAAACAAGCGTTTCGCTCGAGACATCCTTGCATAATCCCAAGACGTCCTGGAAAAACAAACGAATTAGTCAAGACATCCTTGAAATTCCTGCGCGCGGGACGCGGCACGTGCGAGACATCCTCTGAATTCCTGCGGGCGGGACGTGAAAACAAGCATTTCGCATGAGACATCCTTTGAATTCTGGCCTCCCACGATGCCCCCGCTCGAGACATCCCTCAATTTTGCAAAACCAGCGTTTCGCTAAAGACATCCTCAAAAAAGTATGAAAAACAAGCGTTTCGCTCGAGATACCCTGTCAAAATCAAAAAATCATCGAACAAAAAATCAAGTTAGTCGAGACATCCTCGAAATTCTTGCTCGCGGGACGCGGCACGCGCGAGACATCCTCGGAATTCCTGCGCGCGGGGCGCTTTTCCCCGTCGCGGTCGGGGCTGCAGACCTCGGTTGTTTCGAGGATTCTCCTAAAAATGCCCCGCACCCTCTTTTTCACAAAGGAAAACGGTGGCCCGCGGACCCCGTTATTTATGGAGGATCCGAGATGGGGGGTCGACTTTCCTCGAGCCGGCACGCGCGAAACGTATTTGTTTCACGCCGAATTTGGCTTTGCCTTGTTTTTTTATAAAGAATAATTCAGCCGGCCCCCTTCAAGTCAAAACCGGGGGGTAAACCTACTGAAAGAAAACCCTGGGCCCGCGCCCTTTCCGGGGAAAAAAAATCTGGGGACGATGTTCGGACAATTTTTGTATTGTTTGACTGTTTCCTATGGTTCGTCAAAAATTCCCCTGTAGGGGGACAGGCCCGACTTAACCCTACCCTGGATATGGATAGGGGAGGTTCGCGACCCAATGGAGCGTCCAACAGGGCCTCGACGAGAAGGGACACGTCCTGTATTCCAGCTCGGTGTTCGGCCAGTTTGGCCTCTTGGCGTGGGATGGGGTGGGGGCGACGCTCATGGCGCCCCCCCACTCTGACCGATAGCTTCCTAGATGGCCCCAAGACGGCCCCCAAGAGCAACCCAAGAAGGTCCCAAGAGGCGCCCAGGAGACCCGAAGAGGTCTACAAGAGGCTCCGAAGAGATCCCGAGGAGACACGCAAGACGCTCCAAGAGGCCCCTGGGCACGCCAAGAGGCCCCACAGACGCCCCAAGAGGAGTCCAAGAAACTGTCAAAAGACATCCGAAGAGATTCCGACGGTCATCCAAGAAGCATCTGGCCTTCTTAACTCGCTATCCTCCGCCTCCTCCTTTTCCTCATACGCCTATTCCAGCTCATTCCTCCCTCATAGCGCTCGGAATGATGAGGAACGGCCACGGTGCCGTCACAGCTGGCGCACCTCTGGGGCCCAGGCAAAGTTACAAGGGACTGCCAGTCTTGGGGTGCTCCCTGCCAAAATAAAACCTGAGCAGACGAGGCCCCGGCTTCTTCGGAAAAATTGCACAGCAATATCCTCGTATTCTGGTACGACGTCTTACCCAGCCCTTTATTCCACTGCATCTTCCTTCACATCCCTGCTCATGGCAACTCGTCTGGGCATCGTTTATTGACAAGCTGGTGGGGTTACGCGAAACGTCCAGAACATTTGACGGTTCGCAACCATTTCCATCGTACTCTTGTCGCTGACCCATCTTCATTTCACGTCGAGGTCCCAGGGCACAGGAAACCAGGACAATGCATACCAGGGACTTGCGAGATACAGCGGGAAAGAACAAGGAATTCAAGGGGCCCTGGGACACACAAATAAATACACACTAATAACAGGATCCCCCATATTTTCCAATATTTCTGGGTTTTTGTCTCACCCCCCACTACCCATATTTTCCAATACGTATTCTCTGGGGAATCGACGATGAATTGTGTCTGTGTGTTTTTCCCTCCTGAGGACTGGAGAATGTGCCGACAAAAGGGCCGCAGATCGTTTGGGCGTTCCAGCGCCCTGGGTTCTCAGAGTCCCGACTGCAAGGCGTCCTGCTCCTCGGGCAGGCCATCCCAACGCTGTCTCGCAGGCCCGGCAGTGCCTCGCACGGCACACGTGTCACTCGGGGATCCCCGGCTGCCCTCGAGGGAGGAAACGACCCCACGAACGAGGCGGGGTGCGAGGCTGGACTGGACTGGCGGAGTCCTTCGACAAAAAAACCTGTCCCGGCTTCCCGCCCCCTAGGGGAGCCGAAAGCGGTCAGTGTCGGGGAAACATAGATCTCGCGTTGGGGGGACTCGGGTGGGCCTGACGGGGCCATCAGGAAAATGACAAGACCCAGTCTGAAAGTTGACGCGAACTCCCGCTGCAGACATCCCCTAGAAAAGCTGGACCGTCCGAACCCAGGCCGCGCTCGTCGAAGAGCGTCGGCAGACTCGAGTCCCGGCGTACTCGAATCTTACGTTTCCCCGACAGCGCGCCGAGTGCAGGCCGCTCCGGAAGACAGGAGCGCGGCGGGGGCGCGATGCCCTGGGCAGCCAGCCCTGGGGACGACGACGACGACGACGACGACCACGACGACGACGACGACAACGACGACGACGACGACGGCGACGACGACGAGCGGGCCTCCCCAGAGGGCGCCGAGGCGTTCGCTGCCCCTGGCCCCCCGCGGCAGGAGGCCACGAGAGGGGGCGGAGGACATCGGGGGGAGCGAGGAAGAGAGAGAGGCGGGCGGCGACGCAGAGGAAGCCGACAAAGACGTCGAAGGGAAGACGGGGGCGGGCGAGAGAAGGGAAAGTTACAAGCCGGGTGCGCTCGCGCCAGCTCTGACACCTTACCCTTCCCACCCATCCCTTCCATTGTGCTGATGTTTGTTTCTATCCGGGGGCGCGTTTCATAACGGCAGTGGAATTTTCCGAGCGACTTCACCGTCTTATGCGCAATCGGGCACGGGGAGCTCAGAATGTAGGGGGGAGAAGAAGGTGGCGGATGAGCAGGAGACTGAGCTGGAGAATGAACCGGAGGAACAAGAGGAAAATGAGAAGGAAGGAGGATGACGAGGACGAACAACAGGAGCGGGAACTGGCGTGGAAGGGGCGGGAGGACAACAGGGGGAGGCCTGGGAGGGGAAAGGACAGGGGGCGACAACAATGAGAAATGGCTCGGGACCAACAGAATTATGAGCAACCGAAAACGCTCCGATTGAGCAAACAAATGGGTACGACCATTCCATAAGATAGATCGAGTGTATATATAGTATGTATACTATATATACATGTATAAGAAACCAATGCGGCCATGCGGGGCGGGTTACTCCCCGGGCGTCGTGGGGGGAGTGAGGAGAGTACTACTCATATGAGTACTTGTAGAACGAGCACATAAGCGGAGGAGGGTGGACGATCAAGGATGATGACGCAAGAAAAGGCGAGAGGACGGTGATTGGGAGGACGGGAGGGCGGAGGGAGACGACGAAGACTGCGAGGAGGACGAGGACGATGCCGCATGCGGACTGCGCCACTGGGACCTTCGGAGGAGCTCCCTCTGGGGCTACAAAAAGTTGTACTGGGCGGGGGAAAGCATGCGAACTGCGCCACTGGGACCTTCGGTGGAGCTTCCTACGGGGCCACGAAACGCTGTACGGGGTAGGGGAACCGCATGCGGACTGCGCCACTGGGACCCTCGGTGGAGCTCCCTCGTAGTGGGTGGGGGAACCGCATGGGGACTGCGCCGCTGGGACTTTCGGTGGAGGGGGCCACGAAATGGCGTACTGGGCGGGGAAGCCGCATGCGGACTGCGCCTCTGGGACCTTCGGCGGAGCTCCCTCTGGGGCTACAAAACGTTTTACTGGGCGGGGGGAAGCATGCGAACTGTGCCTCTGGGACCTTCGGTGCAGCTCCCTACGGGGCCACGAAACGCTGTACTGGGTGGGGGAACCGCATGGGGACTGCGCCACTGGGACCTTCATTGGAGCTCCCTCTGAACCACGAAATGTTGTACTGGGTGGGGGAACCGCATGCGGACTGCGCCACTGGGGCCTTCGGTGGAAATCCTCCTGGGGCCACGAAACGTGCGAGGTGACGGGAGGAAGGCGGGGGAGGAGGAAGGAGGAGTGAGTGGGGAACGCGGGGCGCCATCTCTTCAGAACGAGGACCCACCACCACAGGATGGTGGGGAAACACGTGTGGGAGAGCGTGGAGGACCACCAGCACGAACGACAGCCGAGAGGAAACGAGGGGGGGGGGCAGGGCGCTAGAGCCCGAGAATCATGAACTGGCCGGCGCCCAGACGCAGGGCCCCGAAGCCGGCGGCCCCCACCTTGGCGGCGAGGGGGTGACTCTGAACCGCCACGCGGCACGACAGACAAAGACCGAGTGAGAGGAGAGAGAGGAAAGAGAGAGAGAGAGAGGAAAGAGAGAGAAGAAAGAGAGAGAGAGAGAGAGAGAAACAACGATAAACTAAACTAACGACGATCTAGAGGCATCCCTCACCCAAACATTGTATATATATATATATATATACCTGTTGTGTATGTCGGAAGAGACATGGATATTAGGGCGGGCACGAAAATTAGAGACAAACTAAAAGGTAAACGGTAACAACTTCCACACACAAACATGCACATGCATAGACAGCACAAATGAGAGATCGTGATAACTATATCGATGCATATACACATGCGTAGATCTTAGACATGCATGTACAGAACACTATACCGCTGAAGAGAGAAAGAGAGAGAGAGAGGGAAAGCGAGAAAAAATAAAGGAATGCAATAGAGGGATAGAGTGAACTGTATACATACATATATATACATGTAAGAGAGAGAGAGAGAGAGAGAAACAAACAAAAATAAAGAGAGGGAGAAAAAGAGAGAGAGAGAGAGAGAAAGAGAAGAGAGACACAGAGGAAGAGAGAGAGAGAGAGATAGAGAAACAAGAGAGAGAGAGAGGAGGAGAGAGAGAGAGAGAAAAACAAACAAACAAGAGAGGGAAATATAGAGAGAGAGATAAAGAGCCAGAGAGAGAGATAGAGAGAGAGAGAGATGACGAGAAAAGGAGGCAAAAAGAAGGAGAGAGAGATATAGAGAGATAGAGAGGGAGAGACAGAGAGAGACATTGAGAGAGAGAGAGAGAGAGAGACAGAGAGAGGGAGACAGAGAGAAGGAGAGGGAGACAGAGAGAGGGAGAGAGAGAGACATACAGAAAACAAGAGAGAGAACAGGAGGTATCCGACACCGTGCCTGCACGGAGTGGGCGTGTTAGAATGGCCCTGAACTTTCTTGTGTGACATCTCACATCTTCTGTAGGACCGCCCCACTCCCCTCTGCAAGGCACGCGTGCCTCAAACATCGCCCTCTTAAAATCGATATGGCGCTCGTCTGTGACTTCAGGCGGTCCCAAAATAGCAGAAAACCACTCGAACACAAGCAATCTCACCCCAAGACCGCCGTGAAGGACCCCAAGACGGTCCTAAGACTGCCAAGCAGGTTGCCCAAGATGGCTTCAAGACGGCGCAAGAAGCTCCCTGAACGTCCCAAGACGGCTCCACGGGAATCTCCGGATGCCCCCCCCCCAGAAGCAAGAATGTGTTGTTCCTTGAGTTCAGATGCTTACCTGTGGTATGTACATGTGTATGTGCAAACATACATAAATAGGATGAGAAAGAGAGAGAGAGAGAGACAACAATAAAAAACGCCGGGGGGGAAGGGATCCACACTCACGTACATACATGTATATACACATACATATCTGTGTATACATATATATGTACACAAGACTGCAATGGCGCTTCGCACCATGCACCTTGGTCCTTGAAGTTTGGTATGCAGGCGGAATGGCAGGAAGGTCAAACCGACAATTTAGCGATAACTCCTGGTTGCCTTTTCCGGCATCGCCGCTATAATGATGTTATTATTTATCCTTCCTCCATGCTTATTGTTCCTTTTCGCCATACCCTGCGCATTCTCTCCTCATCCTCCTCAGCTCTTTTTTGCGGAGGCTCCTCCTTGGAGAGCCTCTAGGGGCCTCACAAAAATTGTTTCGGGCTTTCTGAAGGCCTTCTGGAGGCTTCCTGGGCGTATTCTGGGGGCCTCCCGGGGCTTCCTCGGGCCACCCTGCCTCCAACCGCCGTCTCCCTGAACGACCGAATCACGATTTGGAATTATTCGGAGGGTGTCTTTGGGCCATCTTGGGCCGCCGTGGGGCTCTCTGAGGGCCATCTTGGACCCGTGTTGTGCCGCTTTGGGGCTCTCTTGGACTGCCTGGAAGCCCTTTCGGATGGTTGTGGGGCGATTTGGGAGCCTCCCAGGCGGCTTCGGACGCCCAGAAGACCGCCGTCTTGGAGCGTCGGGAAGCCGGAAAGAGGAGAACCCCAAAATTCACCAGAAACCATAAGAAAATCAATGATTATGCCTCGGGGGGCCTTCTTGGGAGAGCTCTTGGAGGCCTTTTTGGGGCCGTCCTGGAGGCCTCTTGGACCATCTTGAGGTCACGTCGGTCACTCTTGGAGGGCTCTTGTGCTGTCTTGGGAGTCTCTGGGACGTCTCCGATGACCCCCCTGATCGCCCTAAGTGTGCTGGTAAGGCTTGGCAAAACGCCTTGCGAGGCCCGGTGGCCGCTTCGAGGCCAGTCCGGAGGGCCCCAACGCCCCAGGTCCCGGGAGTCCGGTTTTTGTCTTTTTGGGGGGGACGGGTTTTCCCCCGCCCGGGCTTATAAAACTATAGGAAGAGGAATATGTCTGTATATAGACATGTGTATATATCTATGTGTATATATATATATATATGTGTATACAAATATATGGCGAGAGAGAGAGGGAGAGGGAGGTAGAGAGAGAGAGGGGGAGTGAGAGAGATAGAGAGAGAGAGAGCAGCAATGGGACCTTTGGTGGAGCACCCTACGGGGCCATGGAACGTGTGAGGGGTGTGCCGAAACGGGCGTGAAGCCCACATGCGAAATGCACCGCGGAGACCTTCGGTGGAACTCCCTATGGGGCCACGAAGCGCATGAGGGGCGTGCCGACACGGACGCGACGCCCACATGCGAAATGCACCACTGGGACCTTCGGTGGAGCTCCCTAATTATGGGGCAACGGGCGTGGCGCCCACATGCGAACTGCACCACTGGGACTTTCGGAACTCCCTACGGGGCCACGAAACGTGTGAGAGGTGTGCCGACACGGGCGCGACGCCCACATGCGAACTGCACCACTGGGACCTTCGGTGGAGCTCCCTATGGGGCCACGGAACGTGTTAGGGGTGTGCCTAAACAGAAACGGTGCCGGGATGAGAGGAGGGAGGAGGGGGAGGGGAAGGAAGCAATGCGGGGCGCTGTCTCTTCAAAACGAGGACACAACAGCATAGGTTGGTTGGGGAAAAGGAACACGAGGCCGCAGACAAGGTTGGGGTGTTCAAGACCCGCTCCAGTTCAGCGCCCTGTCTGATCTTGAACGGGTCTTGAAGTAAACCTCCTTTTATGAAGCGTTGCTGCATTGATGCGCTGCCCCTGTGGCGAGGTGTCCCACATGCTGATGGGTATACACACATATACACCTACATGTACACATACATGCAGACGGTTTGTGAATACATATGCACATATAGGTTCACACATACATGATGCAGATGGACACATGCATGCAGAAGTGTGTACGTCTCTATGCACTCTGCGAGAGAATCCCTTGCTCGACGTCATGGGCCCCCGGCGCGCCCTGGGAGCCGTCCCGCACGAGGTGCTCGGCCCCGGCGGGCCCAAAAGACGGGCTGAGGAGCGCGCGAGGCGCCCCTGACCTGCAGCCAAGACGCGGGGGGGGGCCCGGCCCTGTAACCATCCATCGATCCGTCGATCTATCTGTGCGTACAGATGTAACATACACTTAGGCGAGACAGGGGCATGGTGAACATGTGTATGCTTCAGAAGATTCGTACGTGTAAGTGTAAAGCGGTATGCGGAGAAAGAGAAAGGGCGAGAGAGAGAGGGGCGGATAATGGCAACGAGAGGGATAGAGAGAAAGAGGAGAGCAAGAGAGGAGTCAGATTAGTGTACTCACGTATATGCTAGAAGTACATCGAGAGATGGTGAGAGATCGCGATGCTTGGGGGAAAGGCCAAGCTACATCTACAGAGAGCGATAAAGACGGAAAGAAAAAGAAGGAGCGAGAGACAGAGAGAGAGAGAGAGAAACAAACATAGCTCCGCACATACAGAAGAACGAAGGATCAATAGTTTTGGGGAGGGGGGATCAACAACAAGGAGGGAGATTAAGAGATAAGAAAGGGAATGGACAGCAAAGACAGAGGGATAGAGCGACACACAAACCGATGCATTCACACGCGTAAGAGCTCTATCTCTCTCTTTCTATATTTGTCTCTCTCTCTCTCTCTGTCTCTCTCTCTCTCTCTCCCTCTCTCTCTATATATATAGGCTCGCCCACCCCCCACACAATAATACACATTCTCCCTGGTTTGCCGCGCATTGCAATCCAATCGACTGCGCTGCAATCGATGACAACACAACGCCGACTCCTCCACCTCCGCCTCCGCTTCAGCGCCCTCCTCATGTTCCTTATGCCCCCCCCCTCCTCCTCATCATCATCATCATCGCCATCCTCGTTGTCCTCCTCCTCCCGCCCCTCCCGCCTCCCTCCTCCCTCATCATCATCATCCTCCTCATCCTCCTTGTTCTCCTCGTTCACCCTCCTCCCTCCCCTCCCCCTCCTATCCCCCTCCTCCCGCCGTCGTCATCAGAATCGTCTTCGTCGTCGTCGCCGTCGCCGTCGTCGCCAGCGTCGGCTTCGTCGAAGTCGCCCTCGTCGACGCCGTCGTCGTCGTCGGAGTCGTCGGTGCTGTCGTCGGTGCTGTCGTCGTCGGAGTGAGTGGTAGTGGTAGAATTAGTAGTGGCAGTGGTGGTGGTAGTAGCGGTGGTGGTGGTGGCCGTGGCGATGGCTGTGGTGGCAGCAGTGGTGGTAGTAGTGGTGGCGGTAGTAGTGCAGGTAGTAGTAGTCGTCGAAATAATGGTAGTAGTCGTAATAGTATGCCCAACATTCCCCAACATGGACCCATACTTTTCTCCGTGCCCTGCCCACACGACAAGTGCTGTCTCCGCCACCTCGCTACCTCGCCCCCCTCCTGGGCGAGGGCCAACCGACCGACATCCCCACCCTCTGGAGCCTCTAGTTTTGGGACCTCCCACCCCACTAGATTTCTCGCCCAAAACCGACCGATACCCCCCACCGCGCCCCCCACAACGCCCGGCATTCCCACCCCATGGAGCCTCTGTTCTTGGGGCCCCCCACCCCACCATTTCTCGCCCAAAACCGACC